GGGGCCAGAAGCCAGAGGAGCACTCTCCCTCTAGCTCTTGAGGGAGAAGGGCCGGGCTGCCTGGAAGCTGAGAGGGTACCTAGACTGGAGCAGGGCTGGGGGAAGGCTAGAGGAGCTGCGGAGCTCCGGCCTGGAAACCCCCCAGGCTGCTGGCCTTGTTAAAGGCCAAGAACAGGTACTGGGGCTACAGAGAGGTAGCCTGGAGTAGGCGGAGGCAGCAGGTCCAAAACCTCCTCCCCAGTGATGAGTGGCACTTACACTGCAGTCTGCCCCAGGGAACTGGGGGCTAGTTGACTGGCAGTGGCCATAGTCTGAGGCGAGGTGGGGATAGAGGGTGGGGGTTCCCTGGGGAGGGTATGGGAGGGGAGACGCAGATCTGTAGGGATACTGCCAGGGGGCAGCACCCAGGCCTGAATAGGGCACCGGGGTCCAGGAGGGACTCGGGCCCAGAGGCAAGCGGGACACCGGCCTGCAGAGGGCGCTCCGGAGGCTGGAAATGCTAATTCCCTGGACGACTAGCAGGAGGCGCCACAGGGGTGAGTCCCGCCCCGTTACAGAGCTAGACAGAGTTAGCAATTTCTTGTGCACCCTTGACCCTGTTCTCACACCACTATTCCCCCTCCTCTCCCATTTGTCTTTCCTTCCTGGTTAGAGTCAGCTGCTCTCACTTGCTCTCTGCCACCTGCCCATGACTGTCCCAAACAAGTCTCCAAGCCTAACAATTCTATTGGTCTTAAATACAAATAGGTTTTATTGGCAGATTATAGAAATGGAGAGAAAAAGTATGACATCAAAAGGAATGTAAAAGAAAAACCAACTAGACAAATGTTGCAGAATGTGTTGTTACAGGAGGAAGGATGGTCCAGTGGTTAGAATCCTAGCCTCGGCCTTGGGAGGTTGGGTTCAAGTTCCTGCTTTGTCACAGACTTCCCATGCAACCTTGGCAAGTCACTTACCCTCTCTGTGCTCCAGCCCCTACATCTGTAAAATGGGGTTAACAGCATTCCCTGCCTCACGGAAGTGTTGGGAGGATAAATACTTTAAAGATCGAGGCAGTTAGATACTACAGTAGTGGAGACAGATAGCTAACCCTAGGCTTCAGTAACAAAGATGGCTTTACGACACCCGAGAAACCTTACATATCGTTGCGCCCCATGTGTCTGATGTCTGCCAACTGGGTCTGTATTTCACCATTGACCTGGCAGACTAAGCCACCTAGTCTCAGATAGTCTTTGTGTCTCACGCCTCACTAGAAAGTCTTCCCCCTCTTGTAGGGAAGAGCTCTGTGCGCCTTCCCAACAAAACAGGAGAGATGTTATATCGCCATTCAAGATGGTACAAAACCTGACACATGTCTCTGAACTTCCCCCAAGAAGCTGGGTTGGATTTTCGATTGAGTTAGGTTGGTCAAGTCCCATTGAATGTCTAATTGCTTTGGTCCCCTTTGAAGGATTCCAGCTGGCTGCAGTCCCTTCTAGACCAAAGGTCTGAAGGGTTGGCTTCTCCCAGCCTCAGCAGTAAAACCGTCTCTTTGGATAGAAGCCAGGCAAGGAAGAGATCTCAGGAAAACTTCTTCCCATAAGTTTATGGCAAAAGAAACAGTACCCCACACTGTTCCACCAACGTGGAGCTCTTGGTTTCAAAGGGGCCTGCTTCTGAGTTCTTTAAACTGTTCTCGTTCAGGTAGAAGGTTATTTGAAATGTAACAGGAGTTGCTAAAATTGAGCATCAAGAGACAAAATTAGAAAAGAAAACTAACAAATATAAAATCCAACACTCGACTGCCAACTCTCCCTATTCAGGCTTTACTTTTCAGCAAAGCCCTGACTGTTTTCACCCTGTGCCCTACAAAATGCCCTCCCACTTCTATGGATTTCAATAGCATTTTCTCCCCAAATGCTCCTATTTATGGCATTCATATGCTGGCATGCTCGCATTCATATGCTGGCATGCTCCCTGAACATTAGCAGGTTCCTGTGAGGGCCAGGGGAGGAATGGAAGAGCGTCAAGTTATATAAGAATGTGGTGTGTGGGCTTCTGCTCCTTCCTGACAGGACCCCAGTTACTGCTCAGCTGTTTACTTTCTAGCGAAAAAAGAGGGAGTCATTATCCGCTCTGTCTGAAGAGACATGCTTTGTCCCTCTATAGCACAAGTCATCCAAAGTTCTAAAGACACTTTAAACACAATCATTATGCCTCGCAACACCCTTGTGAGGTAGAGGAGAACCTTTATCCACTGAGTCACTGAGAGCTACGGTGGAGATTTACCGAGGCACAGATGGGAATCAAAGTCTGCAAATGATTTGCCCAAGATAGCACAGCTAGTCAATGGGGAAGTCATCTATTCAACCCACAAGTCTTAGCCCCTTGCTCCAACTACTATCTCCAACGAGAAGCTGCTGAACTTGAATTAATATGCAAACTAGATACCATTAACTTAGGTTTGAACGCAGACTGGGAATGGCTCGGTCATTACACTAATTGAATCTATTTCCCCATGTTAAAGTATCCTCACACCTTCATGTCAACTGTCCGAAATGGGCCATCTTGATTATCACTTCAAAAGTTTTTCTCTCCTGCTGTTAATAGCTTCTCTTAATCAATTAGCCTCTTACAGTTAGTATGGCTACTTCCACCTTTTCATGTTCTCTGTATGTATAAATATCTTCTTACTGTATGTTCCATTCTATGCATCCGAAGAAGTGGGCTGTAGCCCACGAAAGCTTATGCTCAAATAAATTTGTTAGTCTCTAAGGTGCCACAAGTACTCCTGTTCTTTTTGCTGATACAGACTAACACGGCTGCTACTCTGAAACCTAGATTAGAGTGTGTGTCTCCCTGAAAATAATAATATATGGAGATATACCTATCTCCCAGAACTGGAAGGGACCCCGAAAGGTCATTGAGTCCAGCCCCCTGCCTTCACTAGCAGGACCAAGTACTGATTTTGCCCCAGATCCCTAAGTAGCCCCCATCAAGGGCTGAACTCACAAGCCTGGGCTTAGTAGGCCAATGCTCAAACCACTGAGCTATCCCTCCCCAAAAGCAACAGTAAAACGAATGAAGTAATCTGGCCGCACATTCACTTATGTCCACAGTCTGTATTTTCTCTAGAGGAGCAAATGTATCTGGCATGGGATGTTTCCCACAAAGCAGACACTATCATCCTAAACAACAAACAAACAAACAAACAAGCGTGTGCCTGTAACACTGAAAAGTGAGGACATTTCCCCTTGCTCCTCTCTACAGGAAGCTGACGCTGGAGGAAATTCCTGCCAGTAGATGCGGCCAAAGGGCGTCTTGCATTCTCCATCTGAACTTGGATATTTCAGATTTCCGAACGGGCAGTCAAGACAAGGTTATCAGGGTTTGCAACACATGAGAAAAGGGGAGGAAGTTTAAAGGCCT